AGGGACAGTCATTCCTTGCTGGTATCATCAGCTGGGCAGCACGTGACTTGACGTAACACACAGCACATGGAACGTCGTGATCGTGAATTTTCTTCTCAAAAGGACTATATGTGCTGACTTCATATTCAGCGCCATAAACGTATGAGTTTGACTGAAACCCGTCCTGGTACTTGTCGTACTTTGGCACATTCGGCAGGCAGATGTATTCTCCTCCTCCACCAGGATGGGTGTAATGGCTACCTCCAGCAAAACCTGCACATGAGTAAAACGCTTTAGCATCTTACAAACTCAGCTCACAAAAATAAAAGAGCTTATTGACTGACTAGTACTTGGGTGGAGGGGTGCACTTGAAAACATTTGGTTTTCCGTCATTTTAGAGGGATCTGAAACCTTATTTTTTTCCTGTACCCCTGCTGCCCCACAGTAGGGCGCAGTGGCTATACTAGTTTCGGTTTCTGTAATAATTTTGTTTTCTCCAGGAGTGGGTTATCATGGTAACCCACCGCCGAACCCCCAAGCTGGAGGACCAGGGGCTGTTCTTAGTCAGGCCTCTACCCTACGACCAATCCGGCATGGTAAAACCTGCCAGGGACAGAAGTCCCGGCCGGCACAGCTCGTTGGGTCCTTGAGGCGCGCAAGCTTCACCACCACGACAAGGTGTCAACCTAAGGTGAAGAAGCCGTTATTTACCACCACGAGCCAAGAATTTCCCTCTCCAGCCCGACCTGACTCAGTAAAAAAGTATTTATGTCGATGGAAATGAAAATACCTATGGTTCGTAAATTTTGGGAATTGCGCGTTTTAAATAAATTGTTAACATGTGCGGCGCTATTCGAACGGCTTTTTAAGGACCGATTCAAGTTATTCTACCCGGCCCTGCACAAGCCGACCACGAGCGGAAACATTTTCTACATCTTTGGATCATTAGGGGTGTATGAAAGTATGATTATATAACGCTTCAGCTTAAAAAAACGGTTTAATATGTATGTTTCTGCCACCACAAACATAGGATTAGAGTTCTGGAAATATTTTCAACCTTGAGCAAGTTCGCACCCAAATCTTTCCACTTACGTTTACGTTTTTTCTGGCATATCATAAACTCAAAGCGATTAGCCCACTTTTTCTAGAAGCTTCGTTATTTTATGTGATATGTTATGTAATGTGTAATATAACGTGATAGCGCTGAGAGGCCTTGGATGTGTTATTTTCATCACAAATAA